TTCCCTAAAGACTGAGAATTAACTTTTCATCTTTGTAATAAGACATTCAATATGTAGAAAAACTTTAAAATGTAGTACCGTTGGCTGGTAAATGCATACATTTGAAAGGCACACAGTACTCAGCAGTTTGCTATTGGACATGGAGTTATTTGCTGCAATTCATGGACATTCTTGCGTGCTTTGAAAAAAATCATCCTGATATGCCTGAACATGCCTGTTTCTTTTCTCATGAGTGAAATTGTTTTGGTTTCCCACTCTGCAATCCATTTCTCCTTTGCAACACTTTATACCCTTTTATGGCTTGATATCATGACTTCTGCAGGGGTGGGTTACTTTTCTGTTTATTTTTAGCTTATTTCTATAAGAAAAAGGTTATGAAATCATAGTTTAAGTAATATGCTAAATTCTTAAATGATCCTTTACCAAGGAATTTTTGAAGGTGATTTCATCAAGGTCTTGTAAACAGCTATCAGAAATGTCACTTGTAAAAAACATTGCTTCACAAGATGCTCCATCTTGCTCTCGGCTTGCAATGGTCCAAACCTTTCCTAGGTTTAGAGAATTCATTCTGGCTTTATTCATTACAGTGGAAGAGATAAGAAAGCTCGTTACGACAGTGTACTTGGGAAAATGAGATACAGGCTCTCTCCTTCTCATTGCTCACTACATGAGCTCTACCTGCTGACCATTCTCTGAACAGCAATAGTGTTAGCTGCTGAAGCAGACTTTCCCAGCCTAGCTGGGAATTGCCTTGCTCCTTTTTCTCTTCAGCTCCACCCTTGGTTTATAGCACATGAACTCTGGAGGGATGCCAGTTTTCTGCATCTTTTCCTCCCCACAGTTGTTTGGCCCGTACCCTCCACATCATGATAAAAATAAAATGATGCTAGGCAAGCACAAAGTCCAGGCTAGTTTCACCTCTGGTTAACATCTTTGAAATGCAAGTCATCTTCTGCTACATTCTGCACAGATACAGTATTTCTGTGCATAGCTTAAAACCTCTGCTGTTCAAATAATTAGGTCTGTTTACTGTCATTTTCCACTGCTTTATTATGTGGAGGTGTTATTTACCAGATGTTATGGAGGTTACCCTTATTCCAGTGCTATCGAAATGTTTTTAGTTTGTGACATGCAAAGCAACAACGGTAAATAAATATATTAAAAGGTTGTGGGAGGGAGTCAGTTATACTTTAGGCAAAAGAATAGGGCTATAATTTCAAGAGAGACCTGAGAGGTCTGCCCACAAAACCAGGTGTCTCAAAAGAGTTTAGAAGAAGCAATGCCAAGCCAAAAAGTCCTTTGCTGGCTTTTAGGGCAGTAATTTCATTCAACAATAGTGGCAATTGAAGGCGTATCTGTGTGGGAGTGACACACCTCTTAAACTCTGAGTTTGCTTAAGAAGGCCTAACTTCTTCTTGTTGCTTTTTCCTCTTCCTAGAGAATGTTTTTCTTGACAAGCCGTCTTCAAAATTCGCCCAAGAGGATGGAGAACAGACATCAATCATCCCTGTCCACCAGGTTATTGACAAGGTCAAGGGATACTGCAATCCTCACTCCGACAACTTCTATAAAAATATCATCATGTCTGACACATTTAGTCACAGCACAAAGTTCTAACTGGGCCTCTGAATTTTTTAAACTAAAGGAAGACAAAAAGAAAAAGTCTGCCTGGAGTTGAGAATACCGGATGTCATAGAGTGTAACCTGTTTAGTTTTTTTTTCCCAGTTTATAATGTTCTCCTGCTAATATCTTCCACTTGAGGACCGATTTCTCTACCTTTTTACTGTTGTGGAAAAAGACAATTTTCCACCATGGTATTGAGCTGTTTTTAAATGTGTGCCAGCCAGCACGATGCCTGGACAGCTAATTGTAATCCTGTGTAAATATTTTTTAAAACTGAAGAGCCACAAGCCTAACTCTAAATTGCATAGTCCAAACAGAAGCAAGTCTTGACTGATGGAGAAAATAGCAGACATGTCACGCAGTACAGGCAAGGTCTTATTGAACAGTTTGCCGACGGTCTTTTTCTTCTGAAAAATATGGATTTTCCCTAAGACACTTGTTAGATTCTTGCTTCTTGACTGTCTAGTGCTGTCTGTTCTTTATTCATAAGTGAATAAAACCCTAACACTGGTGTTAAAGGGTTATCTTAAAACATTTTTGACTAAAGAGACCTAATCATGCAAATCTTCCTTACCAAAACAGCATGTGCTGTAAATTCAGGCTATTTTGTATCCATGTACATAGAAACACGCTTATTACAAAGATGTGCTGGCTGAGAAGGGTATGCAGGTTGCTAGTAACTCTTGTGGATTTTAAGCGAAATGATATGTATGGAAACAGACAATCTTACGTACCGTTTGCATCTGGGCAGAACAAGTACACAGGTAAATCCAAAGTTTACACAAAGTCATGTTTCAACATTTATTGATTGGTGTGTATGAAGTGCAGCATCTCCCACTGCAATTCTATGTTAAATGTTCTTTTTCACTAAACAAAACAGAAGACGTTCAACTATAAATAGATATATAAATATGTACCTAGATCTCTCTCCACACATATTTTTATAATAATGCACACAGTAAATATGACAACGGAAACCACAATGTGTACCACAGACAATCTAAGAACAATGAACGGTGCTAAAACTTAAGTATTTAAATACAAGATGCATACTTTGTAAACCCATGGGTTCGTTTGTCAGTCTCTGTACTTCAGATATACTGTATGTTCAGACACCTCCATCAGATGGCATTGCAACATTAGAATAATCTGGAATACATTTGCCAGTAATAAATGAATAAATAACATCTTTCTGGGCACATAACGTTATCAGTATCCCTCTCCTGCCCGCCTGCTGGTTGACTTGATTGAGGTTATTGGAGGCACAGGGTTTAAACAGTGTTCAGGCAACATTAGCAGATGTCGCATTGCTATACTGTGTGCATAACAACACTGAGTTGTGTGTGTGTGCAGAGAACAGACAAAAGCATAAAATGCTTACTTGTTTTAATCTCTATAAATGTGTGACACATTAGCTTGTGGCTGTGACTGCCCACAGTGCATATTTCCTCACGAAGCATGTCTCGCCCCATGACATGTTTTATAAGAATTGTAACTGCACGTGTCCTGAAGGCATGGGCCAAAAAATCAAAGGTATTTTCAAATACTGTTTTCAGAGGAGAAAGGCACTTTTTTTTTACCCAAAATATTTTTAGCCAAATGTTTAATTAATTGTATTCAGAAGGTGACCAGAAAGTTGTGCTGATATTTTTTAGTTGCCAAGCAGGTGAATGTTCAGTGATTAGGGATGTGGATTTGTGCCTTTCTTTGCTCTTTGCACATGCTTTTGCGTGCAGAGATCATTTAATGCTGTGACCGCACAAATGGCATATTTTCCCTGGCTGCAAACACCTGGTGGGAGGAGGATGTCCTGATGGTATTCCGTCCAGAAACACTGCTGTTGCTACATGGACCTTAACGAAACCTCAGTCTCATAACTGCAAATACTTACGTGGTGGTATGAATGAAAGTCAACCCGATTCACTTAAAATGTTAATTATTAATAAGGATGAGTGTTGTGAGATATCTTTAATAAGGGAAATAATTTAGGGAGAGATTATGTACGAGCATTTACTGAACTTATATTTTATCATCCCACTTGCTTAACTACTGTAGATAATAGCGTTCACATAGCAGCTTACTGTGAGATTTCTGCCTGATTAAGGTGTTCAGAAGTGAAGAGAAGGAAAACCAAACATTCCTGCAAAAATGAGGAATCAATAAAACAGAATAGATTAGTAAAATATAAATAAAAAGCAAACACAGTATCCTGACTGAAGCTGAGCTGTAACCTATCAGTTTAATGTACAGCTACCTATATTTTGCTGAATTAAGATTTTTTCCTCTTTTTTTACTACCATGTAGTAATCTTAAACTGTTTGTGTCAGTTAGATGCTCTTGAATGCTCTCAATTCTGCAATGTAAAGCTTCTGCTTTGTAGTTGACATGCTGTAACCTCCCTTGTATATATTTATTTATTTGTGAGGTTAAATGTCAAATATATCTAGCTCTATAATGACTGTTCTTGTTACTTTAAAAACTAAGCTTCTGCTTCATCATAGAAGAAGAGGGAAAGAATAATTTCTTACATATGTTTTTGCCAAACATCTTGTGAAACAATTTACTGTAGTTCTATCTTTTACAAGTATGAGGAAATGTGTCTGTGTAATTTGTCATACTAGTCAGTGGAATATAGTGTACCAGGTTTGAAGATGGACTAAAGCGCAAAGAAGCATTTTCAAGTAAACATTCTTGATGTTAGAGTTCTAAATAATTAAAGTATTTTAATAGTGAATGATTGATTATTTTTTTTCTTTAAAGTGTTTAATGGCAAAAATTACTCAGTGGAATTCTGGAAAATAATCTTGTATTTATTAAGTATGTGAGACAGGTACATGCCTAGCCAAAATGTTGGAATTAAATGTGCAAGACTAACTCCATCTCATCAGAGGAACGCATTTTGCAGAATATGCTTTTCCCTTTTGTGATTTACTCAATACCACATCCAGCGAATGATCTGAACATTATGCAAGTTCATTTATTTGTGGTAGCAGTCACGTCGTAGAAATGAAAGGAAAATCAAGGCAACAGACTTGTTTGGATGCTCTTTTGGAAGTAATACAAATGAATAATCTAAAACTCCGGAGTTAGTTGTATTCGTATGTTTCTTTCCATCATCAATAACTTGATTCAACTTGTAATCATACTTTAACTGATCTCTGTTGAAATATTTTAGTCAGCCAATCACTTGATTAATACACGCTAGTATAAACTAACAGTCTAGTTTAAATGTTTTACCTTTAACGAACACAGAAACATGCTGAAATGTGTCAGATCTGCTCCCCTGTATTTAAGTGTCATTGCAGAAAATGCACAGAATATGAAGATTTAGCGGTAATATTTTTTAGAAAACAAGCAAAAAATCCCATGTGGTAAGTGGCATTTATTAATGAGGATGCTGAGTGTGTCTGTGGACACTGAACACTACCCTTGAGCTTTATGCCTTGAACAGTGTGGGAGGACCCTCTGAGGAAAGGAGCCCAGGGTTTTTTTTCCAAGGAGGATCTTGGCAGAGCCAAACTTTTAAGGAGTGATTTGCAGCGTTTGGGGGTGGATTTATTTTTCCCCTTGTTTCATCGCTTTTTAAATATCAAGAACAGTTTTATTTTAATCCTCTACTGTTAACAGCTTCCTACTGTAACCCATTGAGTTACATAAAGTGCCACCTCATTTTATTACTTTTGAAAGGCTGATCTATAATCAGACACATCCATGTAACCACAGGGATAGCTGCCGAGTTACAGGGCAGCAGTGTGTCATTCATGGAGCCATTATAAAAAGTTGTTGTGCATTTACTATATATAAAGATGTAAAACCATATATGGGTCAGCAAATTAAGCAAAGGGCTTAGAAGTTAATGCCAGAGAAACCAATCATATAAACCAGTCTGTGGAGCGGCCATTTCATGCCCAGTGCTCCAGCTGCTGCTATGCTAAGGAGGCTTTCCCCTTCACCCTCCACTTAGCTGGTCCTTGGTTACTCCATCCATTTAATTTTCAGATCGCCTGGCCCTATCATGGCACTGCTGTCCTCCAGACAATCATTTGCTGCAGTGCTACAGAAAGGGGAAGGGCAAAAGAAATAAGAGAAAGGGAAACTTGAAAGGGAAAGAAGGGGAAGGGAAAGGGTAATGGTCAAGGCCTGCTCTGCACCTTCTTAACACTTTCCACATGATTTCTTGCTCCTCCCCCAGGCTATATCACCCTGACCAGTGATGGAGACAGGCCATTGGAGTAGATGGAACACACCACCATGGCTATTTGTGCACCTGTCAATTAAAACTAATATTTTTGATCATCCAGCTTTAAGCTGAAGGTCTGCTATTGTTCTTCAAGGCAGCAACTCCAGTATTTTCATGCTTGGAGACCAGCCTAGCAATAATATCTCTGTAGTTCAGGAAGAATCTAATGCCCCTTATGATGAGAAATCAGTCTGATAAGGTTCAAGCACCACACCAGGAATAGCTGAATAAATCTTAAGGAAGCCTCTTCTGGAAAGATAGCCTTTGCTCAGGTATGTCTGCCCTCTCAAAGCCAATGCTGCTATTGGTCTTAGATTAAGCCCAGATTTAGTACTCATGAGAAGTACACATTGTGGTGATGTCCATACGAACTGTATAACCACAGCCATCTGACAGCGGTTTGAATGATGTGGTTTTCTCAAGGTGTGTTGGATGACGTACCCTACAAAATAAATGCCCCCTTGAATCTTCAGCATGTAGCAGATAGCCTAAACTGGGCACTTCGTATCCAGACTATTCTAGTAAAAGCTGTCAAAAAACATAGCTTTAGATAGAAAAGAGTTCTCAAAAATCCCAACTGTATTCTGTATGTGAAGTGTAGGAAAAAAAGAGAATGCGGAAAACTCTGGTCTAATGTTTCCTTCTATTGCCAGGTTTTTCCCGTCCTGGGAGCCCACCAAAGCAAGGGGAGAGCCACGGTAGGGGAGTGCATCCTGCTGTGTCCAACGGGCAGAGGGCTCCCTCTATCCCTGTCATGCTGCATTTTGCAGCACTCCAGTTCCAAG